TTTTGAGTGAGTCAGAAGCCGTACTGTGAGTTAGGAAGGATTTTGCTTTGGTTCAAGATGTCACTTCTTCCATCCCCTTAAATTAGCCTTTATATATCTGTTAAATCATAGCTCTTGTTGGCTTTACTTTTTGCTCATTTGCACCCATGCGTATGTAAAAATGTGACTAATTGTCAGAAAAAACTACAAACCCTGATTCTGAGACATACACTAGCCCCAAATCATGCACAGACCAGGTATATGTCTCTTTTCCATACCTATACAATAACATGCATGAGTTCAAACCCATTATGGAATAGAATGCTACAGAGATAAACAATTGCAGAAGTTAACAAAACTTCTTTCTGACACCGCAATTATATCTATATTTCTTTTGTTTTTGTTTGTTTTCTCTTTTACAAGCCAACATTGTTTTAAGTTTTCCATGTTATGGGGGACGGCAAAATCCAGTGGTCCAACTAAACAGTTGCTCAAGCACCTAAACAAGAAGTCAAGTAATCCAAGTCTACTCGTGTCACTTGTCCTACATACTTGGATGCAGCAGAACATTCGCTCCTCCTCCTTTTTTTATTTCTTTTTCTTTTTATCTCTGTCTCTCTGTCTCTGTCTCTCTCCCCCCCCCCCCCGCATTCTTTGCCCTTAGCTGCCAGAATGTTCTTCCTAGGCTCTCCATCATTCAGTGAAGTTATCTGACAGTTCAGCACAAACTTTTGAAAAGGAAATAGGTCTTCACTACTTCTGTAACTCACCACCACAATGTGACAATGGCCACAGAGTTAGATGACTCTTAAAAAAAGAGGACAGGGTTGATAAAGTTGGTGACTATTAGCTGTTGTAGTTAAATGGAACTTCCAGGTTCAGTAGCAAAATACCTCTGATAGCATTAGAGACTGAGGATAGACAACTTTTGAGGAATGTCTGTCTTCATGGCCTGTTCGGGAGCTTCCCAGAGGCATTTCCACTCCCACTGGTCCTATAATAACAGTGGCTTTAAGAACTGATGCCTGAGCATGACCTTTTCCTTTCCTCTCTCCTCCCATTCCCTTTTGTGTGTGTGCAGTGTCTTTTAGATCATACACTGTTTATTTAAAGTGTGGGGTGGAAGTACTTTAACAGTGCAAACCAAGGCATATCTACTCAGTCCCATTGATTTCAATTACATTTACTCCAAAGGTGGTATATATAACTAACTAAATAAATTGATTTCTGGACTAAGGCTGCAATACTAACCACACATACTAGTCAGTATTGAACTTCCTGTGATTTGCTTCCAAGTAAATATGTATAGGAACACATTGTTAGATGGGACTTTTCATCCAGCAGAAAAGTTCGTCATACCTTTTTCCAAAGTGCAGTTTTCAAGAACTTCAGTGAATTCATCCTACCACAGATTCATAGCACCCACAACACCTTGTGAGTTCCTCCAATTATACTACTTTTTTAAAAAAGAAAAGAAAGTCTTGCACCAAAGTTTCTTTTCTCTCCCCCTCCCCCCTCCCCTCTCCGCTCCTAGCAAGTCATTACATATTACCGCTGCCTAGATGAATAACTTGCAAGGATGATGCAGATCAAGAAGGAACCAAGGAAAGCATGTAGAGTTGACTCTGATGCTGATAATAACACTATACTAGGCGTGTGAAGAGTTCACTGGTTTTCTTAACAGTCCAGCGCAATCGCTGTTGACTCACGTGCACAACGCATTTCATCTATTTTGATTACGATTTTTTAAATTGTAAAAACGAAAACAAACACACCAGTCTTGTTTGTTTGTTTGTTTGCCCTGTTCTGACCGCAAGACTTGCCTAATCGTGCAGCGTTCCCTTTAGAGAGGGGGGTGGCGCGGCTGCATTTTAGCTCCCTCATTCTCTCCCCCATCAGCCGCCCCCTCCACGAAAGGCCTTCTCTGGCATTAAGGAAAACCGCCCTTACCTGCTTACAGCCACTCCTACATAGAGGAGGCTGCCTTATGGCCTTCGAATAGTGCCCTCGAAAAAGAACTCCCCACCAAAACAAAACAAAAACGCCAGCAGCGGGTTGGTGGTGGTTCTGCCTTCCCCCAAACAACTCTTAAGCCCGGATCGATTCAGCAGGAGAAGCATTTTGCTTAAAGCTGTGTGAATTTTGAAACGAGGAAATACTGTCTCGCCTTTTTATTATCTCAGGTGATAAATATTGCATCGCGCGCATTTAAAACTTTTAATACAAGGGCCGGAGTGTAAGAGGCACCTGTGGGTGTTGTCATTTTGCTTAGCCGTTCCCCTCTCCTCCTAAGGAAGAAGTGCACGAGAGGGTTGGCTTTGTGGGAGAGGGCTGCTGCTGGCACCCCATTTTTCGCTCCCTGGGGGGGCTCCATCCACTAAGGCGCGACCCGTCTTAAGCCGTGGAGAGTTTGATGTCTCTTGGAAAGAGCCATGACGGGGAGAGGGGGGCGAGAGAAGGGCTCTGCTAATGTTGCACTGAGATGATTCTCAAAGGCCCCCCAGGCAGCACTCAACATCCAGACTTCATTAAAATTTCATACTCAGCACTTGGCCAAGGTCTATTTATGAAAATGCGTTTTTCGTGGCATGGAAAAAACAGGACTCCGACGAAAGAACAAAGCGGAGACGGAGAGTGGGGGAAGCTGAGCTGAAGGGGCTTTAAAGCTGTGCGAAGGGTCCGGTCCAGGACCGGGCAGAGAGCATTCAGTGGAGGCTGGGTAGACGAGAAGGGAAGTTACAGAAGAGAGGGGGTATTTCTCAGGTCTTCGGAGTGCTGTTTCAGCACCCCGGACAGCTCATCGGCTCTGCGATCGGGCCTCTCCTGTTCCCCAAACTCCCCAGAAGAGGCATCTTTTGCCCTGTAAGGGAGCCGGCAACCAGAGCCGAAGCAGCAATCCCTTTTTGAACTGTCCAGGGTCCTGAAAACAGCCCGAAGCAGGTCGCTTATTATTAACGGCAGTGGGGGAGGGTGCAGGACTGGTGGAGAACTGAACAACAACAACAGCAAAAATGCTTCTCATTCATGAAAAAGTCGCAGTCCAATCTATTCTCTTTGACTGGTGCCTGAGAGAGAGGGTTTAATGTGGTCCCAGGCGGAACGCCAAGCGCGATAGAAGCCCGGGGAGAGTTGTCAGTCAGACCAAGCAAGCGCCATGGTGGGAGCTGAAGGCGGCGGGTGGAGTGGGTGGGCGGCATTTCGGAGGAGAGAGCGGTGGACGGTGGGGAGAACTGACAAAGTTTTCTGCTAAGTTCAAAAAGCGGTGATTCGCCATAGGAGCTTAAAACAGAGCCTCTTTCCATTCTACTTTCGCTATGGTTGCCACCCAGAGTCAACGCTCTTTATACCTGCTTCCCCCTTCTATTAAAATCAATGGGATTTAAATGTGCTTTATCTTAGCTGAATCTTGTCCAATGCCAGCTAGCTAACTCTCATAACCTCCCCGTGGTCTTCGTTTCTCTGGTGGATGGATCGAATAGAATTCAATTTTCTTCTTTTACTACTTTATATTATTATTATTATTATTATTATTATTATTATTATTATTATTATTATTATTTTCCAACTACTGGAATAGAGTAGGTTGAGTTTGTTAGAATATTACCCCTCCCGCATTCATAAAGGTTTGAGGTAAATTGCAGACGAAATCAAATCCATCTAGAAACCTTATACTAGATTACGAATAAGATCAACTAACCCCTCCCTCCCAAAAAACCTAGTCGCGTTAATAAAAAGCAAAGCTCATTACTTAAAAGACCAAACACAAAATCAAAGACACAGGGTGATTTTTTTTTTATTAGAGGGGTAGGGGAATCTGAACTGAAAAGTTATAGGAACAGCTTATATAGTTTTACCTAATGCTCTGTAGAAAAAGAAAAGGGAAAAAAGTGACATTTCCTTCTCTTTTTTGGCAATTTTTTCTGGTTTCACGCGCAAACAAGCAAAAGTAAATAAATAATAATATCCAGCGCTAACTGCAATCAAGATCTTTCGTTGCAAATCGCCCAAATAATATAACTTCCAGATTTTGGTCATGCCGAACAGCAACTCTGAACTTTTTATCGAGTTGTATAAAGAGGAATAAGAATATTGCCCTTTTCAAAGAGGAAGTATTCCTGCATTGCAGGGGTTTGGACTAGATGATTCTGAGGGACCTTTCCAGCTCTAAAAATTCTATAATTCTATGATTCTAAGGATCGCCAAACGAAATCCCAAAGAAACCGGAGCAAAGATAGAAGCTGAGCGGTTATTGGCCTGAGCAAGTGATTCAAGCCAGAGCCAGAAAGAGATTTCTGCCGCCCTAGAAGCCCCTTCTCCTCTAGCTGGAGGGGGCTAAGAATGATAGAATCATAGCTGTAGAGTTGGAAGGGACCCCGAGGGTCACCTGGTCCCACCCCCTGCAATGCTTGAATCTCAACTAGTTCATACATACAGAATCATAGAATAGACGGAAATGAGCAAACGACTTTTAAAGAAAACATAAGCAAAATAAAAACAACACCCACCTAGTTATATTTTGTAAGCTTATGTATGGAAATATTTAAGCTAACAAGGTGTAATCAAGGATTCTATCCTCCCCAAACTTCCGATATCCAGGATCCCTTTCAATTTTGCTATCCTAAGTTTAACTGAACTAAATGTATATTCCTCCAGCCTCCTCGCCTCTCTTTCCATTGCTTCCTGTGGTGCTGCTTGAAAAAATAAAATAAAATGTAAGCGCCTCGGAGCAGGGACCTTTCTTCTAGTCAAGGCAATAGAATAACAATAACAATAACAATGGAGAGCGCCTGAACTTTACGTGTAAATGGCCTAAGCCTATTAGATGGGGGGTGGGGAGGTCCCTGTTGGATTCTCTGTCCGTTTCTCCAACACAAGGCTGACTTTTTTTAGTTTTTACATTTGCGAAATGATTTTAAACTGCCTCCCCTCCTCCTTTCTCTTACTTTGGCTGCTAAGATTTGTGTTAACTCTTACTAGCTTATTGGTGTGATTTTTAACGACATCTTTCATTGAGTGGCATTCGACCCTGGTTCTACTCAGAGTAAACCCATTTAAGTTAATGGACTTAGGTTCATTAATTTTAATGGGTCTACTCTGAGTAGGATTTAGATACAATTCCATGGATTTCCCTCTCCCTAGTTCCCTCCCCTCTCAATTTGTGAGTTCCTCAGAGGGTAGGGGCTTGCCTATTTTTGTAAGCCTTTATTAACCCCCATGAGGCGTTAAATTAACCCAAAGCGTTGTAATATCAAGATATAACAACAACAATACAAATAATAATAATAGCAACAATTTCAGCGAAAATAATTTAGCTCGCATTTTGGCCTAAATGGTTTAGACGTTCTCGTTAAGCGGCGGCCTGCCTGCTTGCCTCAGGCTCAAGAATTGGCAAACGGCGGGACAGACAAAAGTGCCGAGAGCATCATTAATTGAAGAAGACGAGGCAATGGTGGCCACAGGCTAGGCGATTTTAAAAAAGGGATTAGACAGAAACACATGGAGGATCTGACTGTCAAAGACATGGGGAAGGATCCTCTCTGATTAGAACACCTGCCTTCTATGCAGGTCTCAGGTTCAGTCCCCAGCATCTCCAGGTAAAATGGGGAAAGAACCTGTCTGAAATCAATGAGAGCCACGGCCAGTCAGAGTGGACAATACTGAACTGGATGGACCAATGGTTGGAGGAGGGCTGTGACTCAGTGGTAGAGCATCTGCTTTGCACACAAAATGTCCCCAATATCCTCAGATAAGGCTGGGAGAATCCCACTGCCTGAAACCCTTGAAGAACCACTCCCTAGCACTGTAGATAATACTGAACTGGATGAGCCCAGTGGTCTGACTGGCTCGTGTATTCCATGTGTACTACCCTATATTCCATGTATATTTCCCTATATTCCATGTGTATTTCCCTATATTCCATGTGTATTTCCCTATATTCCATGCGTATTTCTCTATATTCCATGTCCAGAGTCACTATACTCTGTACCTCAAATTGGGTGTGGGGAAAGCACGCAGCAGGACACGCATGCCTTGGGTCAGGGCTACCCAAAGGCATCCATCTATGCGCTGTAAGAAACAGTATCATCCTGGAGAACACGGTATTTTGATCTGATCCAGCAGGTCTCTTCTGACGTGCCAAGGAGTTTGTGTGCATCGCTGTTTTTTCTGCGCAGTATAGGGGGGGGGGGCTTTCCCCCCAGGGGAATTAGCCAGAAACTTACCCATCGGTTTCCATAACCTTTCCACACGCGTAGGATGCACACTTTCAGGACCCCCGCGCTAAAAAGAATAAACTTTGCCTGATCTCAAGAGTTGGTATGTTGTTCTCATTGAAAATGTCTGGGGGCCTGGACTTTTGTATGCTTCCAGAACTATCCTGCTTCTGGACTTCAAAATTAAATATTTATTTATTTATCCCCCCTTCTCAGTAGTGATACAATTTAGACCCAATTTAGACTACTATTTAGACCCTGACAATAAGGGCCACGAGAGGTTGGGTGCTTGCTGGCATGAGCGCGTGTGTACTGTCATTACTTCATTTACTTCAAAACACAGTGAGCCAGTCCTGCTGCGCTCGGGAACTTCCTAGCTCGTTCTGTTGAATGGGGCCCTGGTCACCTCCCCAAAAGTACTGACCTGGTGGCCTCACCGTAATTCCACACGGCATGTGAATGATGGTGCCAGATGGGCGGGGGGGGGGGGCAATGGCTTCGTTCCCCGCCCCCTTTTCGACCGAGAGAGTAAGGGAGTTGTGGTAAAACACCGGCTTAAGAATGACAGGAAATTCTCTGGTTGCCATATTCTCTACGCGGATTCTCTGTTGACGGATTTGTCGCAAGCGATGTAATTTCTTTTTAATGGCATTTCACTCAGCTGTATTTACCTTATAAATACTTGATGTTCCTAACGTATTATCTTCCGATTTGCCTCTACACACACACACACACACACACACACACACACACACACACACTTTCCAAGGAATGAAGGAGGGTGGCGTGAAGTAAAGCGTGCGAGGTTTATTTCGAAAATCCACAGAATACACAAACACGAAAATGCCACTGGTCGTACTTACAAAATAAGCGTTAATTTTAATGAAGGGGAGTAAATTAACTACGGAAAGCAACAACCACGATAACAACAACATAAGCTTATAATTAAATATGTGCAAAGTAATATGGAAACTGCTAGCAACTTTTCCTAAAAAATAAACAAAATAAAAACAAGCCTTCTGTAATTTGCAAGTGTTATATTTTGATCCAGCCGCCCTCCAGGCTTACAGCATGTTTACTTAGAAGCCCCAGTGAGTTCAATGGGATTATTCTACTAGGTGTGCTTAGGATAGACTTTCTTTTGGGGCAATGCACTCTGGAATCAAAAGGAGTGAAACAAATCAAACAGGGAAAGGAAAGCTAACTGAAGTAAAGAGTCTAGGTATTACCTCCCATTTACTTTATAACTGATTCCACGGAGTAAAAATGAGACGCAATTGTGATATATTTAAGGATTTGATTGTCAAAGCGTATTGTTTTGCACTTAAATTGTACAGGCCTCAAGTATTTCACTTGGACTGTATGCAAAATAAAATCTTAACTCGATGTCCTCCATTTGGCTCCACTTCTTGAACGTATTTTCCCCAAGATAAACAATCTAGTTCATCTTTTATTTATTTGGGAGCTGCAGGCAGCTTGATCCCCCTCCCCAAGGCACGTTTACTTGGAAGTAACTTGATTCCCTCCGTTTTCATTGGGTCTTACTTCTAAATAGACGCTATAGGATTGCTCTGTTATCCCCAAATTTCAGTGCTTCAATGAGGCTTGCACCCAGGAAAGCTGGTCTAGAAGACTGCAGTCTTGCAGCATGGTTTTACACATGTCTACTCAAAAGTAAATCTCATTAAGGTCAATAAGGCTTACTCCCAAGTAAATGAGTGGAGGACTGCCCCCTTCCTTCCTTAGCCAATGAATAGGAAGAGAATACCCTAGGCTTTTGCCTGCAGAGGAGGCACAGAAGAAGCTAAACCAAGTCAGAAATCGCTGGTGGTGATGGTGTCGGGAAGACCCTCGGAGGAACAAGTCATCAGCTTGTCTGAAGCAGGGAGGGTTTTGCCAGTTAACTTTACTTGCTTTCCTCTGCGCACACGCACTAACTTTTTACACACGTTTTCTTGACAACAGGAGTCCGAAAAGCACAATAAACAGTAAAGAGTCCACAACAACCATTTTATTGTGGAATAAGCTTTTGTAGGCTGCATTCCACAATGTCAGATGCATAACGTACAAATCCACGAATATCTGGACAGCATTTCATGCATCTGAAGAAATGGACGGCAGTCCTTGGAAGCATGCTTCACAATAATTTGGTTAGGTATCCAGGACTCTCTTTCTCTCTCTGCGGCAGACGACTCCTCTGGAAACATCTACCTGGGAGTGAACCCCGTCTAATTCCGTGGAACTTAACTTCAAAGTAAGGATGCACAGGACAGAGCTGCAAAGACACTGAAGAATTGACTAAGCCACACTAACAAATCTTACTAGCATTCTTCAGCTGGTCTGAAGGCTCCAAAATTCGAGGCAACTCCCGTTTTCACGACTTCGCTTATTTCCCCCCCAGGCAACTACCCTGTTGTGAAGGGGATTTGCTGTGCTGGCTCAGACCACGGGGGACTTGTCTGTGAGAGGGGGCAACTGCCAGACTCCGTGGGAAGTCGATAGGCAAGGCACAGTTGTTGTTTGAGGAAGGGCCTTGACTCAGTGGTATGCTCTGCATGCAGAAGGTCTCAGGTTCGATCCCCAGAAAGACCCCTGCGTGGAACCCCAGACAACCCTGCTAGTCAATGTGGACACTACTGCACTAGATAGACCAGTGTTTCCTGTGTCCACCCGCCCACCTCCTAGGCATCAGGCAGCCAGGAAGGTACACTGCCTCTGATCGTGGAGGTTCAATTTGGCTAGTTATAGCTAGTATCAGGCGGGAAATGCCGTTTTAATGGGTTGGGAAGGCAGTTGAAGAGACACTGCTATGTCAGAGAGCTGGAAATGGGATTTCCACTGAACGGTAGAGAACGTCCTGACTACACCAGTTTGTTCGCTTCCGGAAGTAATGGACTATTCTACCTCAGAGTTTGTTTGTTTTTTTTAAAAAAGCGGTGGCTAGAAATAGTCACTTTTTAGGGATGCTTTTTCAGCGGGTTTGAGATTCCAAGTTTATGATCCTATGAGCAAGACGCTTGTCTGAACGTCGCCCCAGACTCCGGGATATTTGCGCAGTCTCAGTTCTTGTTGCCTTCATCCTGGGGGAAAGTCAAATGCAGGGGGCACCATTTAGGGAGGGAGCAAGTCCCGTTCTTCAGGTACCCCTGCCTCCCAGGAATATAATAGTGGCAAATGGGAGAGCAGGCCGGCCCTTCCATCCGCCAGAGGAGCAGCAGATGCTCCAAAACTCGCTTTCTATTCTCTCCTCAAGCCCTTTTTCTTTTATATCGTGTCTGTTAGCTTGTGTGCCCTTAGCCAGGGACTGTCTTTCACATTCATTTGGATATATATATATATATATATATATATATATATAATATATCAGGTGCTTTGCAAGCGTTAATTCAAAAAAATAATAGATTAATTGGCATATGTTTTCAAAGCACCACAGCAAATGGTTCTTTACTGTCCCCCCTCCCGCACGCCAAAGCCAGAGTCTCCCAAATTTATCCCCTCCCCCCAAAAATCCCCTGAAACCTGAAAAGTCACGCACCATTCAGAATCACGGGAGATGATTCTTATACCAGAATTTCTCCACATTAGGCAGTGGGTTAAACAAGGCAACTGATGTAGTGTAGTCCTCAGAGTGTAGGACTAAAGCCAGAGTCCAAGTTCAAATCTTTGATCGTATTAGACCAGTCACCCTATCTTGACCTGATCTGACCGTCCACACAGGGCTGTTGTTATAAGGGTTAAAAGAAGGAAGTGCTAGTCTGAGGCAGCGAAGTGGGATTTTTAAAAAAGTAGCCAATACTATTTCAATATTGAGACTGGCCCTCGTGACCAGGGTAGAACTCAAACTCTAAAACAAGCACCCCCGCAGATAATAAGACACACCAAGCAGGTTGCTTCACAGCGCATCGTTCAGTGTTAAGCGCCCAGATCACAGGAAGCCACAGTTGTCTACACTGACTGGCAGTGGCTCCGTAGGATTTCAGACATGGAATATCTCCCAGCCCTACAGGGAGATGTTGGGGGTTGATTCCAGGGCCTTGTGCGTGCAGAAGAGATGCCCAGCCAGGTAGTTACGGCTCTTTCCTAACCAGTCCAAGCTTACTGGCACTGTCTCCCCGGGTTTCAAACCTAGAGTCTCTTGCAACCCAGCTTGAGGTACCTAAGAGCTTTTGCATGCAAAGCAGATGCCATATCTCTAAAGCAAACTTACATCAGAAATCTGAGGTATTCTGGAGCCTGCTGTGTGTGTATGAGTGTGCGTGCATCTTTTGAGAAATATACAATAATTTTCTAAGTATTCCTGTTTTTTCTGTTAATTCAAGTAAAACGCTAATTAAAAGGACCCCTTAACCAGATAGGCTGGGCCCATCCTTTGAAATAACTAGGCAGGCCAGACCAAAATCGCTCCCACCCTTCCTATCCCTGTTGAAACCGAATTAAGTTCTCAACAAAACCGGAATCGATCCATAATATTTTCTCAGATAAATAGCCTGCAAGCTTATCTACTCAAAACAACTACAGAAGCTCAGGCACAACCTGGACCGCTAACCAACCAACCACCCGCCTCCACGAGAACTCTTATAGAGATCGGTGACTGTTTTCCGTTGACTGCTTCTCATTAGGAGAGTCTTAATGGAAAGCATTTCAGCTTCAGAAGAGTTTATTGACAACTCAATGTGTAGACTGTAATGAAATATTTCGTTGATTTTTCTGCGTCTCCCAGCTACTCCTTCCCTGCCGCGCAGTAATTGTGGGAAGTCCCAAGCCACCGGTTCAGGAGAAAATAGAAGATAATAACTGCATGCACTCTTTGCCCCCCCCAAAGAAGGAGCCCCCCAGACTTTAGGGGAAGCAGCCAGAAAGACTAAAATCAGCCGCAACTCCCCTGCTCCCTCCCGCTATTTAGACTATTTATTTATCCAATCCTTGGGCTCGGAGTTGGACATCCATAGTACTTCTAGTAAAATCAAAAACTAAAATATTCTACACTACGAAGAGGAAGGGGAGGGGAAGAGCAACGCCAGAGGTTTGTAAGCTACGAAGGTTCCAAAGGAGTTTTTTCAAAAGGAAGTAGTTACTGCGCAGCAACAAGGAAGACAAGTTGATTGTGGAGGGAAACTATCTCTTGGTTGCACTATAGCTATTTCCTTTCAACAGCATTTTGCGCTGTGCGTTCTACTTTGTAACATTTTAAAAAATCGAGGCGAATAGTTCCTCGACCCAAGACACATAGAATAAAGAACCTTTGCTTGTAAACAGGGGGCGGGGGCGGTGATCTGAGTTGTGCTTAGATCCCGGGACTCACATTCCTTTCCTGCCCAGATCATCCAAAGCCGTGGAGCGGGGTGAGGTAAAACGTGCGTGTTTTATTTGAACTTGTGTAGCATACATGGACACATCATTTCATTCGTCACGCACTCACACAAACGAATAATACAATCTTTCTATTTTCTTTCCTTAAAAAACAGTGACATGGAGACCATTTTGCTATTACATAGGCAAAGCGAAAGGAAATAATTTTTTTTTGTTTTTGTTTTAGAAAGTGCCAAGTTAAATCTTTGCAGAGGAAGAAGTTGTTTGCTAATAATTAATTTTGTTAACCACCGTGTTTGGTTTTTAAAAGAAGAAGACATATAAATCAGAATATTTTACCTTCCTCACACCCCGCAGAAAACAAAACAATCTTTTGGATAGTTGCATTCTAGAAACAAAAATGAGAGGGGGGGTCCAGGTGGGGGCGACAAAAAGCGTGACTTGTTGTATAATAACAAACTCAAAACATCGAAGCAAAGGGGAAGCCTGAAGTCACAATATCTGCACACTTCCCTGGGAGTAAGTCCCATTGAACTCAATACGATTTACTTCTAAGTAGAGATGCGTAGGATTGCGCTGTGCGTTAGAAACCAAGGAGCTCCTTCTGCCCTTGCGACATTCATATCCACCCCCCAGCGCAATTCCACAGGTTTGAAGAATAATAAAGGCGATATTTAATGATTTGATTGTCAAAGCGCTGTTGTTGTTGTTGGTTGTACAGTGAAATTATACAGGATTAAATAGTTCAAGTGAAGTCAAATCAAAATTTTAAATCAAGCTCTCTCCACCATCACCGGGTTTTCCAAATCAGCCAGACAGGTTCCTTTGATATTTGCTCTTCTTTTCTCTCCCTCCCCCCTTTTAATTATTTTTTTTTAAAGGATGAGGTAGGAACAGAAGATTTATTGCAAAGAATGCGGTTGGATTTTGCTGTGGGGCAAGGAGAGGATCGGAAGGCTGAAGCATGCGAGGCGAAGCCGGGTCTGGGATGGGGTGAAGAGTGCCGGAGAGGTAAGCCAACGGGAGCAAGGGTAGTAGTAATAATAATTTAAAAATCTCATCGAACAGAAGCCAGCAAAAAGTGTTAAAAAACAAACAAACTTTTGGAACTCGGGAGGAAAGAGGGAGTGTTTGTTTGCTTTCGGTTTCAAGCTTCCTTCCTTTCCCCCCTCCATATCTCGTTTGCTTGAAAATACAGGGATGGAAATGGGATGGAAATATGAAGTCCCTTTTTTCATTTAAAAAAAGAAAAGAAAAAGTAAACCCACGAAAAAGACTCAACTTTTTCACTCACCAGGAATATGGTACAGTAGCATAGGGGTTTCCCCCCTCACTCCTGTATATATCTATTGAAGTATTTGCATTGTTCTTTTACTTAGTAAACAAAGAGTCTTTATTCTCTCTTTCTTTCTTTCTCTCTCTCTCTCTCTCTCGGATGGGGCTGGTTGAGTTGTGTCTGCCTTTCGTTACCCCTCGGCCAGGGGAGTTCCAGTAAGTCCAACACAGGGTGCGCTATAGAGCTCCCCATGCTCGTGGGAGATGTTTTCACCCCTTTTAATTTTAGATTCATCATTGTCCCTCCGTTTTAGGCGTCCTTTTTGCCTTCTATCCCCCTCCGCTCTTCCTTCCCTTTCCCCATCCTCTCTCCTCAATAAGCGGCGGAGAATTTCATGCGCTTCTGCTTCTGCCTTTGATTGCAAAACCAGACCCTCACCACGTTCTTCTTCAGATCCAGCTTCTCGGCGATGGCGGCGATCTTCTCCGACGAAGGCCGTGGCTGGACGGCGAAGTAGGCCTCCAGCGAGCGCTTCTCCGGCGCCGCGATGGAGGTGCGCTTGCGCTTCTTGTCTCCCGTCGAGTACACCTCGGGCTTGGCCATCTTCTCGCGCTGGGCCCGCTCCGCCTCCTCCAGCCAGGCTTCCAGGATGGGCTTGAGGGCCACCATGTTGTTGTGCGAGAGGGTGAGCGACTCGAAGCGGCAGATGGTGCTCTGGCTGAGGCATCCGACGCCGGGGATCTTGAGGTTGGCCAACGCGGAGCCCACGTCGGCCTGCGTCACGCCCAGCTTGATGCGCCGCTGCTTGAAGCGCTCGGCGAAGGACTCCAGCTCCCGCGGGTCCGTCTCTGTCTCCGGGCCAGCCAAGACAGTGTGCGATGCCAGGCCGTGGGGCGGGTGGTGGCCCATGCCCATGGGCGGCTGGCCGTGCGCTGGGTGGCCCATGGCATTGAGGGCCGGCAGGTGGGCGTGCGGGTGGGGGTGCGCGGGCGCTGCCCCCACGTCCGGTAGCGGCAGGGCTGAGTTGAGGTGCTCCAGCAGCTCGCCATCCAGGCCCTGAGCAGGCTGGTGGTGATGGTGGTGATGGTGAGCGTGGTGCGAGTGGCCGCTCAGCACCGACGGGTGGTGCAGGTGCACCGACGACGAGGTGGGCGTGCAGGAGACCGAGACGCTGCTCATGGTGTGGTAAGTGGCGTCCGGCTTGAAGGGGTGGCTCTTCTGCGAGACAATGTCCACCGCCGCCAGGGCCTCGGCCCCGCGCAGCAAAGTCTCGTCCAGGCCGGCGAAGAAGTTACTTTGCAGCTGCGAGGGGGTGGGGAGAGAGATGGACAGAGCTCAGAGAGAGGCACGCAACCAGAGAAGGAAAGCAGGCACCTATCCACCACCTCCGACCCTAGCTGGGTCGCCTTGCTGCTGGGATATATCAAATGAACCTTTCCTGCCCCCCCTTCTTTCCCGAAAGTATACCGTTTCCTACCTCCACGTGTCTCCCCTCCTCATTTGTGCCACGCAACTTTTGAGAGGACTGGGCTTGGGTAAACAGGAAGGGCCGGGACAGTGCCGTCGGATCTCCTTCCTCTTTCCAGACTTTCCAGACTTTGCCCGAGTTATCTTTCGGGCTCACCCATCACCCCAAATGTCCCGCGCCCCTCTCTTCCCTCTTCCTGCACCCCCGACTTGGAAATTTGATCTGCACCTTCGCAGAGGCTCCCGTCTAGGGGGTCAGAAGGAACCGGTCCAACTGAGTGGGTCACAGGGGTGGAGAAAGGAAGCAAGGAATCCAGGTACCGACATCCTTTCACAGAAATACTAGCTCCCACCATCACTTTCCTCTCTCCCCCACCTCCATCCCCTTTCCGTAGAACCCGTTCCTTACCTGCGGGGCAGGCAAACAAGCCCTCCGGATGGCCTCGGAGCTGGAGTGGAGGTGGGTGTACTTGGGCTCGTGCAGGATGGGGTGCATGCTGAACGCCTGTTTGCTGTTCATGGACATCATGGTGGTGATTATGGTGGTGGCGGCGTTGGCGAGGAGCAGGAGGAGACCAGCAGGTGACCGCGCCAGCCCGGCTCCCCTTATTGTCTCTGCCGGCGCTCTTGCACTATCAATGACATTATAGAGCCGCCCAGACCACACCCTTCCAGCGGGCCGCCCTCCCATTGGCTGCGGCGGCAGGACTCCGCCCCGCCCACTTCCGAGATCTCCGAGCCTGAAAGGGATTTTATTTGGTTTAGCAGGAGAAGCGCTCACGCTCCTTGCTCGCCCTTTTGCTGCCAGAGCTCCCGGAGGCGGCTTGTCAAAGAAGAAAGAGGGCCAGGGTGCTTCTCTTCTATTATCATCATCATCATCATCATCATCATCATTATCATCATTATATCATTATCATTATTTGTTGTTGTTGTTGTTGTTGTTGTTATTATTATTATTATTATTATTGTTATTACTACATTAAAAACATTTTTTTTAACCGTCACCTGTCCTGGAAATGAGTTATTTCCTTTGGCTGTGGCTGCCTGCCTTTGTGGAGTGACCTCCTGCTCATTCTGTTAAACGGGGTTGGGGGAGAAGTCTTTCACTGACTACCACTGTTCTAGCCCCATCTGAATTAAACCTCACGTGCAGCAAGCAGCAGAGTTAAGGAAGCAGAAAAAAATATCAGCGTCAGGACATATGGGGAGAGAAATACAAGGATAAGCAGTTCCGACGGGGGGGGCGGGGGCGGGGAGGGGAAGTCCTAGAAGCTCCCTCCAAAACAATGTATCTGAAAGTTGTGCTTTTGAATTGCCTCTGCCAGTGAAAATGAGGTCTTGATTTCTGTCCTTGATCTCCTTGCTTTTTTACCGTATTATAAATAAGAACCTGCCTTAGGACCAACCAAAATGTCTCAAGAATGTATTTCCCCTGTTGTGGCTTTTGGATTTCCACTCCTGACATAGACTAACATGGGAGTCTTCAATTTTAATGTGCTTGCTGCTAGCCTGCTTCTCCTTACTCTCTGTTTCAGTGTCTCTCCACTGATGGAGAAAAATGGAGTGACGGCGTGCTGCCAAAGAGCAGATGATAAACTTTGGCTGTCTTCACATTACCATTTACTCTGGCTCCAGTACACTCCCCACCCCCCTGGTTTTTGAATCTGTGTACACACGTCACACAGAACTATCCTGTAGTTTCTTGAGCAACGCTGCTCTTCAATGTGCTTTCCCCCGAACCACCTTTTCAGTCCAAAAGGAAAACCACCACATTTCACCACATTTACTGGTACTTCTCAGTGAAGCTAAGGCGCATGCATTTGAGACAGCAATTGCATATATGCAGCTGACAGTATATGCACTGATGACAGCTTTATGAATACAAGTTGGGAGGGGTTGTAGAAGTGCAGAGACCAAACAGGTAGTGCACACTGGGATAATATCACCCCCCCCCCGCGCGTGTACCACAGTATGCAAATGTGACTTGAGACACAGTGGCCTTAGAATTTATTCCATGGGTAGGCAAACTAAGGCCTGGGGCCAGATCTGGCCCAATCACCTTCTAAATCCAGCCTGCAGACAGTCCAGAAATCAGCGTGTTTTTACATGAGTAGAATGTGTCCTTTTATTTAAAATGCATCTCTGGGTTATTTGTGGGGCATAGGAATTTGTTCATTTTTTCCCTCCAAAATATAGTCCGCCCCCCCACAAGGTCTGAGGGACAGTGGACCATGCTGAAAAACATTTGCTGACCCCTGATCTATTCTCTCTTCGCAATGGCTAATCAGAGTATTAGTAGTCAGAGCATTGGTAAGAGGTTTTTTCACATCACCTGCTAATTTCTAGCTACAGGTGTCAGGGACTGAGCTAGAGACCTTAAGCATGCACAACATGGGCTTAACCACTGAGCTTCAGTCTGTCTCCTGGTAAATAGGAGACATTTTGTAATCACATAGAATCCTAGAATTGTATAGTTGGAAGGGATCCTGAGGGTCATTTACTCCAACCACTTGCAATGCATGAATCTCAACTAAAGTATCAATGGCAAATGGCCATCCAACCTCTGCTTAAAAACCTCCAAGGAAGGAGAGTCCACCACCTTCCCAGCTCTTGCCATCAGAGAGTTGTTTCTGATGTTTAGTTGGAATCTCCTTTCTTGTAACTTGAATCCATTGGTTTGAGTCCTACCCTCCGGAGCAGGAAAAAGCAAGCTTGTTCCACCTTCCATGTGACAGCCCTTTAGATATCTGAATATGGCTATCATATCTGTTCTCAGTCTCCTCTTATCCAGGCTAAACACACCCAGCTCCCTCAAGCATTCCTCAAAAGGCTTGATTTCCAGATCCTTAATCATCTTGGTTGCCCTCCTGTGCACACATTCCAGCTTGTCAAAATCCTTCTTAAATTGTTGCACCCAGAACTGGACATAGTATTCCAGGTGTGGTCTGCCCAAGGCAGAATAGAGTGGGACTATTACTTCCCTTGATTAGGACATTATACTTCTGTTGGTGCAGCCTAGAAAAGCATTAGCTTTTTTCCTGCTGCATCAGACAGTTGACTCATGTTAAGCTTGTGGTCTACTAAGACTCCTAGATCCTTTTCACATGTACTACGGGCAAGCCAGGTACCTCCAATTTTATGTTTGCGCAGCTGATTCATCTCGTTTAAGTGCAGAACCTTACATTTATGCCTATTGAAATTCATTTTGTTAGCTTGGGCCCAGTTCTCTAACATATTAAGGTCATTTTGAATTCTGATTCTGTCTTCTGTAGCATTAGCTACCCCTCTCAGTTTGGTGTCATCTGAAAATTTGATGAATTTCCCCTCAATTCTTTCACCCAAGTCATTTATAAAGATGTTGAACAACAATGTGCCCAGGACAGAATCCTGATGAGCCCCACTGGTCACTTTCCCCCAGGATGTTTAGGAACCATTACTGAACACACTTTGGGTTTGGTCAGTCAACCAGCTACAAATCAACCTAAGAGTAACCTCATCCAGTCTACATTTTATCAGCTTCCATACACGAATATCATGGGGGACTTTGTCAAAGTCTTCACTGAAATCAAGATACACAATGTGCACAGCATTCCCCTGATCCACCAAGCTTGTAACTGTATCAAAAGAAAAGAAAAGAGTCATCTAGGGGGATGGGGGGCTGAGGGCTCCCAAAAAAAATCAAGGAGGGGGCTGAGCCCCATCAAAATTCCATGCTTCTGCCAATTAAATGTGTTGTCATGTCACTCCCATTCCAAGTATCCTGACTGAGGCATGTATGAGTCAGAAAGTTAGCTTTATTCAAGGCATGCAACAGTACAGGTCAGGCTTGACATAGGTACAGATTGCCATGGACAGGATTATGTGGGACTGTTCAGGGTGGCAGGAGAGGATATATTGTTTATAAATATCTTTCCTAACTTGCGCTAGCAAGTTCCTTTACTTAGCAGAGTTTACATTCCCCTATACACAGCAGAAAACTAGTTGCAAACTCATGTGAGTTTCTTAAGACAATACACAATTCAATCTGGTTTATCCAGACTGAAATGTGTTCTAATATTTTCCTGGTAGGACCCCTTGAATCCCTCCTAAAAGAATAAAGACACCAAGGTCTTATTCATAAGCAATAAAAAGAAAGTTTACTCACAATCAGGCAGAGCACAGTGTGATCCCTGAAGGCAGGTGTTAGGCTTAAAGTTACAAACTTATACTAACAAATTTATCCCATAAGGGAGATGACCTGGGGCAGCCAGCAGTTCATTCCGGGAAGTTTGCAGGACGAAAGGAAGATGGAAAAGAGAGAGAGTGGCAGCATGCCTTGTCCTTTTACCAGGTTTGGAAAGGTCATGCCCGCCCACTAGTCACATACAAGGAAGGAAGCTCCAGGCCAGGAGGAACAGGAAGTTTCATCTGGCTGGACCAAGCATTCCCTTGCATGTTCACTTTCGGAAAACAAGGAATGTTGTACTTGACTGCTCTCAGTGGATTATATCCCACAGATTAGAGAATTCATGAGTGGCATCAGGAGTCCAAGATTTGATGCAAGTGACAAAGATATCTCAACAGATGGATTTGCCCCTCCTACCAACATTTAAAAGCAAGACACGGCATGCTTGCACCTTCCAAGATTGGCTGCAGGCTTCCAAACCATGAATGATGGATGTTTTCATAGAGGGGGTAATCTGATACTCCAAAGCATTACATCATGGCTCTCAGGAGTGAGACTTCCTGTGTTGTCATCTGTCATGGGGTGGGACACACAACATCACCTGCCAAACCCTAAAATGGAAGGAGTTTAAGAATTTGATGAGATGCATTCTACCTATGCTATTCATGTGACTTTCTCTCACTAAGAGATTGCTGTACTTAAAGGTTTGCTGCACTTCGAGGTGCATGCTTCCCTGGAGGCACAGACAACAGAAGAAGTGGTGCCTAGTCCTGGGTGATGGGACTGAGATCAGCCACCCCTGGCTCCTTCCTCTGCTGACCATTCTCTCATCCTAGCAGGTTGGTGCCCTTTCTCATTGCTAAGGGCCCCCTCAGTTTTATGGATGGAGGTTGACAGGGAGCCGGCAGGACTGCTTTCCCTCCCCAGTTCCTAAAGACAAACAAACAGGGCCCCCATCCTCTTCCTTGGGCCACTCCACACACATAGTATCATCTGCATCCTTCTGCTCCTGCTCTTCACCTGAGAGCAATTGCTACCCCAGTGCGGAGTCAACCATGGCTCACATCAGCTATGGTGCTCATCTTGAAAGCTCTCAGTGTCTTGGGACCCAAATACAATTAGAAGCTACTTGCCCTAGATCAGCCTGCCTGTGTATTAAAATTAACAGAGGAGGATTTTAATCATGTTCTACCATTGGGGGGGGGGGGGGTTCATTCAATTGTGATGAAGTTTGTGTAATACCCTCCATCTACACAGGAGCAGTCCTACCATTAGGGAGAGTGAGACAGCCACTTCAGGCATGAGATTTACCAATGAGATTTCAATGGTATGGTGGGGTAGAATATTGACCCCAGAGGAAATTG